CCCCCCCTTACAATCTCCCCCCTTCCCTGTGTTGTTGACTCACTGGCTTTTGGTGTTTACACTGGGCTGCTCTTGTTGAGTTTCTGCACGTGCACATAACACAAACGCTGTCCCTGTCACCGCTTTGAGGTTACTGTGAGTGTCCACTCATTCGTCGTGTGTTTGCCCACGAGGTCATGTCGTGATCTCGTCAGCTTTTGTCTGGATGGCCATTGGTCTGGAAAAAAACAACAACCGACAACTTGGTTACTTGGATGAAGAATAGGCATCGTTGCAGGCGTACACTGTAACCAACAAAAAACCAACAGTGCAACTGCATAAGGTCATTTGAGCGCGGGGGACACATTTTTCAGTTGGTAAGAAATTTTGAATTTTGCCCGGGTGGCGGCCGAAGACCACTATTATCGATTTTAGACCACCAGGGGATCTTTAACGTGCGCAACTTGCACACGGGACCTCCGTGGTTTTTCGCCCTTGCCCGAGAAGGTTAGGTATAGATCGTTCCTACCAGAAGATCAGGTGTGTGGCTGAAAGACAGCAGTAAGAAGGAGCCAAGGAGTAGCAATAGAAAGGCTGCAGAAAGAGCCAGGAGCTCAGAGGAGAGGGCAAAGGAGATGAGGGGGTGGTGGCAGAAAGTGGAGATGAAAGTAGAAGACAGAACAATGCTAGAGAATAGTAGACAATTTTAGACAATGAAAGGAGACAATTTTAGAAAAGAAAACTTTTCCATCGCAACCAGGATTCGAACCCGGGACGTTTGAAAGAGAGGCGAACACCTTAACCTGTAGTCCACGAGAACCCCCTCTTTTTTTAAATTGTGCATGTAGATGTATTTTAAAACTAAAATGCATATCACTGTACAAACTTATATCTCAGGGTACATATTATGAACTGAGATATAAAACCCGGCATTATTTTTTTCTTCTATATAAAGTATCTAAGGAATTGTCCTTTTGGTAACAGACGGAATGGGTCGTCAGAGCACAACCAAAATTGCCTTAGACGCCCACTGTTTGTCAAGAAGAGAATTCCCCTTGAAACCATACCATAAGATCCTAAGCAGCAAACCATAAAAACAAACACACAAACGTTTAGCTTATCTGCACTCCACACACACACCTCCCTA